GATCGTCTTTCTTAGAATTAGATAAGTCTCTTTATTGATGATCAGATCACTGCAGCAGCAGCAACAGCGACGGCGGCGGCGGCGGCAGCAAGTTCAAGGTTGACTGGGTAAAAATAGCTGGATCTTGCCGGACGGAGAACGTGCTGCTTCTCCTGCTGTTTCTGTTGACTATGCTCCACCGGAAACGTACTGTCCGCCATTGATCGCTAAGACACTTCAAAGCTAATCCCATCGAATAATATAACTATCACATGCTGACATTAAAAGCAATCGAACAAATAAATATTTAGGACATCAAAAGTTGAAGCACATGAAACGCGGTATTCTCGTACTGTATATGTTCATTGAATCTTTATATCAGATTATATCTAATTAATTATATCTTTATAACAGATCATTGTCTACCATTTATTACTTATACTTTTCAATTACTTATACTTCTAATTTACCTAAAACTTTTAAAGTCACTGGTAATTACTGATAATTCCCTTTTAATAATTATCACTTTTTATCGATTGTAAATCTATAAAATTCGTATCGTTAATTAGAAAGAGTGAAATATAATAAAAATATCTTTTTATATGCAAATTTTTATTTTAGGCGAAACAGTTAAACTCAAAGATAAAAACGAATAATAGTCAAATATAGCTAATCAAAAAATGCGACAAAATCATTAGATAATTAGTGACATAAGGCACGACTCACGCTTCGAAGGGAATCGTGATGCCGATAATGGATATTGGAATTTACCAATCGCGGCAAGAAACAAGCACATATTGCCGTGGTGATGCTATAACGGTGCCTGTCGTCGCTCGTGGCTTTCCTGAAAAACGTATCTGCACACACCTCGTAGAAAAAGAGTAATACTCGAGATGACTTGGGCGACCTTAGTCGTGCACCTAAGAGAAATACCGTGCGCGAACCTTCGACGATGAAGATATAACGAGGTCGAGCATGTCAACGACTCTATCATGGGACGAGGATATCCCCTCCGCGTATCTCGCAAATCTAAATCTCGCGAACTAGGTAAAGAGCACGCAAGACAGGTCTAATCTCGAAAAGCCCGACGTGCCGGATTCCAATTTCGCAAAGTCGTAAATGGCCCGATAAAAATTACACGTTGTCGCCAGCCGAATAGAAGATAATTAAAATTAAAGATTAATTTACTAGAAAGCAGAAAATGAACAGGAACTGGATAGGTTTGACGTAGATTCTGAAAATATCGCTCTAATAAGCAATAAAAAGTATTATATACTAAATATCATATAATTATAATAATTATAAGGTACATAATGTAATAACGCTAGTCTCAACTTTTTATTGAATATTCAAAGTGGTAACACTATTAGTAGCGACATTTTTCATAATATGTAATAAACGATTAGCCTAAAACTTTTGCTCTCTCGTAACGTCATCCTTACAATTTTCTCACCATCATTTCATAATTTTCGTATCGCATTATCGGCAAATATCTTCTGAGACGAAATACAAACGAATCGTGTTCTTCTGCTTCGTCGCATAATAATACACGTATATAGATTTATTAGAGATATTGCGAGAATCTAGCATAAAATCGGTGAGTGTATTTATATATGTATAATTATATATAAGTGTGTTTAATTATATATAATTATATATACCTATATACAATGTGGATATAGGTACACTTACGGTGCAAGAGTTATCTCGGAAGCGGAAGGCGCGATGCAAGAGAATGTAACGCGGGATTTCGCTTGTCCACCTCCGAGATAAATCGGCTCTAAAAATCATAACGTCTATCTTACGTCAAACGTCTATTTATAATTCTCAGGCGTTTCTCAACTTCTCTCTCTTCTTCTTTCTCTTTTTCACAAGCACGGGCTAACAATGAACTCGATCGCGCGCAAGCCGATCGTAGGAGTAGTTAATAATCGACGTATGCAACTTCAAAATTGGAAAGACCAGAGTGAGTGGAGTGAAGATATATGTTATATTAAAACAGTAAAAATGAATAATGATGCTCGGGGACGGATAGTCTTATCAAGGTGGCTTATTCATGGGTAGAGTCTATTGCACCGCTGTGACTATTGCAGAAGAGAACTATTGCGATAATATTGTAAATATATTGTGTGATTGTGTGATATGCCCGGAATACAATTGCAACTATACCCTGATCGTTATCCCGTACAGCTAGGTGTTAAAAATTATCACTAAACACTTTCATTAAAAACCGATCGTATGTGAAATGCAAAATAATTCGACAATTATTTAAATTTCATCTTTTAATATCTTATTTACACTCTTCCATTCTTTTCTGTAAAATAATAATAGATAGAAAAAGTAGATAATGAGATAAAATAGATAATGAGATAAAAGAAATAGATAATGAGATAAAAAGTGAAAAAAATAACAGATAATAAAGTGTTAACTTTATTTAAAAAAAAAATATGCAATATATTTCCAAACATATATAACGTATCACTTCTTATAAAATTAAAATTTTTACTCAATAAACTTTACAGAATTTGGAACATTTTAAGATACTGTCCAACTTAATTGTAATTTTTTACGATTTATTTTAATCGTAAAAATATTTCGAATTGGTCGGTTTAAGAAGACGAGTGTTTTGTGATAATTCTTATTATATATTCGACTGCAAGGTGCATTCGCGCAATCGATTTCGCTCGCCCATCTGTCGCATACTTTTACATCTTGAATGTCTACTACCGATTTAATTGTCGGTCGCTTACGGCAACCGAGTACGCACATTAAAAAGGCTACGAAAGGCTATACTTAGAAATTAGTGAAACACAATGACAGTGTACAGTGTCGTCGGTGCTTCGAGCGGGCTTCGTCAAACTCCATCAATATACGCCGCACTTTCTCTCGCCGTGGAGGTTCGAATAAAAATTGAGCTAAAAACGACGACGAGGGGGAGAAGAAGGTGACAGGGAAAAAGAAAAAGACGTCAAAGCAAACGGACACGCCGAAGGACGAGAGGAATGAATAATTTCGCAGACGCGAAGCTCGCGTTTCTCTTTCTCTGAGTTTTTTTCCCTCTCTGTCCTCTCAGCGTGCCGATCTTGGATCTTGTGAAGTATCGTTGACGAATGCTACTTCACCATCTCCTCGTGATGACATTAAGAAGTAGTACACTCAAATAAGACCTCAACGCGTTTCGCAAAAAAAGTAAATTTACGCTATCCTACTCCGCGCAATAGTATCTTCCTCGTCGAGAAATAATTAATCCGTAAGTAATAGTAGAATCCTCGTACGCAGATATCCCTTTTTTTTGCAATGGAAAGAAAATATTTTCCCACCAGACAGTTCGGTAAAGATATTTTAATATGCTTCTTACGTGGCCTTAAAATACCGGTGAACAGACACCCTTAGTCGACAACACTTTCTTCTGCCCGAACGATGTGGTTTCTCAAGCGTAAACATCACGGTGTAACGAAACAATTCTGCCCGGGTGATGCAGTGGGTGGGCTCTTCTTCTACTTACCGATTCGATTTAATTCGCAGGAATTCCGACAAGACTTCGGACAGCATCGAGATTTATCGTAGATACGATTTTTAGTATGTCGAACGTTTTTTCCCCCTTCCGCCGACTCTGTCCTCCTCCGTTAATCTAATTGCCATTCTCTCGCTCTCTCTTTCTCTCCTTCTGTCTCTTTTTCACTTCCATTCTTTCTCTCTCACACGCATTCTTTACTAAACTAGGGAGCATTAAGTAACTATCTTATCTCTGTTGAAAAATAGGACATCGTGTTCGCTACTCGATCATCGGTCCCGCATTTCCTTGCTGGTCGCGCGCGTGCCTCGACCGCTGTGCGCTTCCGAAAGATTTCTCCCGAAAGATAAACTCGTATACGTATCAGGCAAAATCGAGTAATATGTAAAAAAAAAAAGAAAAAAAAAAGGCGAAGGAAACACCGACGTCGGCGCGCAAGTCGCATTCGCGTTTTCCGGAGGATTTATCGTGACGGTAAAACGATCTCAGTACCTCCATTCGATTCGACGTCACGCGAACCATTTTTTGCAAATCTTCGCACTTAATTGTGATCTTGATCGCACCTCGACAAAGCCGAGTAAAAGTAACATCAAAAACCTTATCAACACGATTCCGACACGGAATGTTTATAATAGCGATCGTGACAACATTTGCAGGATACATTTATTTTTTACTTATCGGTAAAAGCTAGTCTTTGATATTATAAAGAACACCATACGGTTATGCAATCATGTAACTCACTCTTTTCTCTGTGTAATAAAATCAGTTTTCGTCGTTTTCGTTATTTCCTATAATCTTAAGCCAGTAAACCAGTAAGTTATACCAATATACAGATATATAAGCAAATACTCGAAAGTAACAAAAAAAAAAAGAAATATGTCAACTATATCCACTTAAAAACGATCGAAAGAAAATCTTCGAAAATCTATAACTAATATGTAA